TCCCCCAGCCCTGTCCAGGGAGGTAAACCCTGTATACACACTTGTATTGGTAAGGTCTGTCTTTGCTGGGGTTAGATAGGCTCTTCCAGTTCCTAATCACAAGCCCACTTGAGCTGTTAGCAGTTCCTTTAAACAGGGATTTGGTGTGTTTAGGCTGACTGTCCTCCCTGAGAGCAGATGGTTTTTGTTACTGGATAATATTTCAAAGGAAAGTGTTTTTCTCTTCTTTCTGTAATGCCTCCTCTGGTGCTGGTTCCTCAGGCTGGGAGGTGGCACAGGGCACGTGTGTGCTGCGTGGGTGTGGGAGCCTGCCCTCCCCTGGGCTGGAGCTGGTTGGGTTCACCAGTCAGGGTGATGAATACTGAGTCTTAACACTCCAGGTTCCTTGCTAAAAACTGTTTAAAGCCATGTGGTGGAGAAGTCAAGTCAGCTCCTTTCCCTATGACTGACTGGTGACAGCCACTTCTGGGGTGCTGCTGGCTTTGGGATCCTTCCCTGCAGCAGGTTGGCAGCAAGACCCTCCAGCCTCTTGTCCTTGCTCTGCCTTCTCCCAGCCCTTCAATCTCCTTTACTTTGCAGCCCAACGACCCGGTGACAAACATATGCCAGGCAGCAGACAAACAGCTTTTCACCCTGGTGGAGTGGGCCAAGAGGATCCCCCACTTCTCCGAGCTGCCCTTGGACGACCAAGTCATCTTACTCAGAGCAGGTGAGTGGGAACTGTCCCTGTGTGGGCTCCAGCATGGGACTGTGGGAGTGCTACATCTCACCAGTGACAGGTCTTACGCTTAGATTTAGGTCCTGACAACTTGAAAGCCATTTACTGATTCTGAGTAATAGCCTCTGATCATTCAATTGCTGAATAGGATTTTAAAAGCCCCGAGGGACACGTTCCAAAATGTTGCTCCAGCTGCCACTCAAACTGCAAACTGGCTCAGCTTCATCTCAGCTGAGCAAGGCCTTCAGAGATGTGCTCTGGGTGGTTTAAACCAGCTTACATGCTGCTTTTCCTCCTGAGCTGCCACTTGAAAGACCAAGTGGGCTTGGGTCTCCCATGAAATTTCATCAAACTAAAGTGTTTGATCATAATTAAAACCAGAAAGGAGAGAAAAAGATATCAACCTCTTTCTCCCACCCACCAAGATGAAAATAAAGTTCTCTGGGCTTATTTTAAATTTCCTTGCCCAGCAGGAGGTCTGCAGGAACAGACTTGGGGAGGTGAAAAGCAGT